GTAGGGCCCTTCAGGTCATGGAAAAGGCTTTGGTTCTTACTCAGAAAAATATAGATCCTTTAGAAGACTCTGAGCAAACGGGAAACACAATTAAATTTATATTTTGAAGGGCACACTCATGTGAGACTAGTTTAGATAGGGCCAAGTTTAGAAGGAAGGAGCCAATTAAGAGAGACAGATGGTAGATTGGATGAAGTGTTATGAGTGGAAAGATGAAAAACGATCAGTCACATATAGCTCAAAGGTAAGGTCAACAGGATTTGCTGGCAAATCAGATTCAAGATTGTTAAAGAAAGAAGAATGAGGGAGAATTCTAAGGTTTTGGGCTTCGAAACCTGGAAGGATGGATTCAGTTCCCATCTACTGACATGAGGAGGACAGTGGATGGGGAAGGTTTTTGGAGGAAGATTAGGAGTTGAGTTTTGGACCTTTACAACTCTAAGTAGAAGCAATCAGATATGCCAGTCTGACGCTCAGGAGAGAGATCTAGACTAGAAGTAATAATTTCAGAGTTGTGGGCATATAGATGTCATTCAAAGTCTTGAGAATGAATGAGATTGCCAAAGGAGTGAGTAGAGCAGGTGACAAGGAATTGAGCTTTGGGATACCCCAACATTAAAAGGTGGAAGAGAAGAAAAGAAACTAGGAAAGGAGATTGAAAAGGAGAAACTAAAAAGACAGGAGGAAAACCAGTCAATCATTCAAGGTGTCCTGGAAGCAAGTGAATAAATTATTAGGAATGAGTGATGAACTGTGTGTTAATTATTGCTCATGGGTCAAGTTCAGTGGGGATTGAGAACTGATTTTTGTGCTACCATCGTAGAAGTCTCCAGTGATCTTACGGAGAGCAGTTACAGAGGTGTGATATGGAAGAAAATAAAGCCTTATTGGAGTGGGTTTAGTTGAAATGGGTTAGGTAGGAATTGGAACCAAAGTATAGATAATTCCTTTTTTAATTTTTTTAAAAGATTTTATTGGGGAATTGGGGAAGGGGAACAGCCAAGTTGTTGTCCTTCAGTTTTAGTTGTGGAGGGCACAGCTAGCTCAGCTCCAAGTCCAGTCGCCATCTGGCCTCCTGTTGGCAGCTCGCAGCTGCTCAGCTTAAGGTGCTGTGTTCAATCTTAGTTTCAGGTGGGAGTTGAACTGGCAGCCTTGTTGTTAGGAGCATATGCTCTTACCAGCTGAGCCATCCTGCCACCTGTTGGCAGTTCAGCAGCACCTCAGCTCTGGCACAGCTCACTAGCCCATGTGGGAATTGAACTGGGGACCCTGTTGCTCAGAGCTCAGGCTGTTAATCAACTGAGTCACTCAGCAGGCCCTAGATAATCCCTCTAAGGAGATTAGCTACAAAGGGAGAAGCTGTGCTTGTGGCTAGCAGAAGAAATTAAGGTCGAGATTTTTTTTTTCAAGAGCAGTAAGCAGATGCTTTGTAGGCTGATTAAAAAGATCAAGTAGAAAGAGAATTGCAGTGTGGGGAAAAAAGGAACAAAATCAAGGATTCAAGTAGGGGTACTGGCTTTGAAGAAAATCACAGAGGTGACTTATGGTAAGAGGTTAGAATGGAAAACACATATTAGTATGGATCTGGTTGATGAGGTAGATAATACAGCGCAGGTCTGGAAATTCTGATGGCTTGAGTTTCTCAGAATAGGAAGCAAGGTCATCACCAGACAGTAAAGATGAGAGAAAACGGTTGGTGTTTGAGGAGAAATAGCCATCTAGGGAGGAGGGAAAGTGAATGAACTAGGAAAGTAGTATTATAAGTGGGTAATGATTTAGTAAGAACACATAATAGAGACCTAGTAATTGTTTAATGGCTCACCAAAGTAATAGAATTTTTGGCTTTCAGTTGTGGTGGGAGAGTTTATACTCAGAATAATTAGAATTGCTCAAATTTAACAATACACAAAAATCAAGAAGCTTTTTCTAAGCTTCAGATTCATCAAATATTTATATTAACCATCCCAGTAATCATATTCACAATCTATATGATTTTCTGATGATCTACCTTAAGAAAATTAACTTTCTTGTGCATTAAAGACACCCAGCATCTCAGCTGGATTTACCAACTTCTATTTTCCTGTTACTAATGGGGAACAGTTTTACTCCTATGGTCACAGAAAAGAGGAAAAACTGCCACTTAACATTCTTGTGGGTTTTCTCCCAGCTGCAACAGATGTGGATCCTGAACTAATAAACTGTTAGAAAAGAGGAAATGAAGCAGATAAAAAAAAAATTAAGTCTCAACTATTTTTCCTAGTTCCTCCCATTATTAGCAACTATCTAGCAATAAACATAAAAAACTTCTTTAAATTCACAACCTAGAATTATACTTGATGTTGCTCATCATGTTATATGAATAAAATTTTAAATTAGTTTAAATTTTGAGTGAATTTATAATATTTCCATTTTGTTTTATGTCTGGCTTTTTGCAGGACTATGTGGGTATGCATACTCTAAAAACATAAAATAAATAAATAAATAAATATATATATATGTCTATATATAGATAGATACTGTAATATACTCATAATTACCTTAATGCTTATGTTTATATTAAACATAAATAATATTTATTTACGTACACATGTATATGTATGATCATTCTCACATTCTTACCCAAGCTTCTGATAAGGGTTTGATTTTTTGGACCAGATGTGCTAAAACATCTTTTACAAATATTTAAGTGTCTATATTGATATACCCACTACTTTTTAAATTATTATTTTGCTATGCAATTATTTCCATGACTCTAATTTTGATAAATTCAATTCTCTATGTGTTCACGGTTTTCTCAAAATCTCATTGTGTTTTTTTACCACAAATTTCACCAATGGTTTATCATTCCTATGGCAATGAGCGAAAAATTGTCAAAATCATGTAGAGCAAAGGCTTGCTACATACAATTCAATTATTGAATTCTGAAGGAATAGGCTTTGAACTCTATTTCAAATAACAAGGAGGTTATCACAGGAACCTCCTGAGTCACTATAGCTTTGTGGTTAAGAGCATATGCTCAGTGCTCTGATCCCATCTTCAGCTCCATAACCTTAGACAAATGATCAAACCCTTCTTTTGATTCAGTTTCTTCTTCTGCAAAATAGAGAGGTTCATGTCCCCCCCCCATTAATATTACTTCCCTTATAGCTATGTGGGGATAAAATGAAATAACACATAGTCAGGGTTATAGATGTGCCAAGCATGCAGAAAGCACTCAAATTATTAACAATTGCTAAGGTGTTTATATACGTTTTTTCATTTAATTTCACAGTGGCCCAAAGAGAAGGTCCTCGTGTTATTTCTACCATCCTAGTGAAGAAACTGAAGGGTGAGCGTTTCCAAAGTCACATGGTTAATAAGGATGAGCAAGAGAAAGACTGAGAGAATGGAAGGAATTACATAGTCCATATATACACAGAGGGAAGGGGAGGGAAATGAGGGCTTAGTCGAAGGTAAGGCCAGATCTGAAGGTCTTTGTGCCATGTTGTGGATCTTAGACTCTGCTCTGTAGGTGAGACAGAGCCAGAGAGAAGCTTCCAGCAATGGAAATCCAATGGCGAGATTTGAATCTTAGTGTTGAGGATGCTAAAATAGTGTGACTCTAGCTCCCTCACCATGGATCTTCCTTTCTTTCTTTCTTTCTTTCTTTCTTTCTTTCTTTCTTTCTTTCTTTCTTTCTTTCTTTCTTTCTTTCCTTCCTTCCTTCCTTCCTTCCTTCCTTCCTTCCTTCCTTCTTTCCTTCCTTCCTTCCTTCCTTCCTTCCTTCCTTCCTTCCTTCTTTCTTTTCTTTTCTTTTCTTTTTGTTTTGTTTTTACAAACTGACCTCTCTTTTTGAGAAAAGAAAATTCTTTTCTGATTAATTAAAACATTACGCTATTTTTTTTTCTACAACATGGGACATTTCCATTCAGGTAGCCAGAATTTATTATGCAGAACAATTGTGTACCCTGGGTGTTCTAGAAAAATTCAGATTCTAACTATTCCATCAAAATGATATTAACTATCAAAATTTTTCAGAAATATTAAATCCAAATTACACATTTTGGACTGTATCCAAAAATAGCATATAAACTTTTTTTTTTTTAAAGATTTTTAATTGGGGAATTGGGGCGATGGGAACAGCACTGGGGAATGGGGGAAGGGGAACAGACAAGTTGCTGTCTTTTTTTATTCTTCAGTCTAGTTGTGGAGGATGTTGCTTCACTGGCCCAAGTTGGCACCATCATTGCGCTCTTCCCGGGTGAGGCAGATCAGTCGCCGGCTTCTGGACGGCCACTCACTGCGGCTGCTGGCCGCTCACGCTAGCTGCTGGCCACACACAGTAGCCCATGGCAACCCACTGCCACAAGGGCTGCAGCCTACGCCGTCGCCGGCGAACTCACGGCAGCCCAGCTCCAGGTTGAGCTGTTGTTCAGCATCTTAGCTGTGGAGGGCAGTGTCACTGGCCTTCATATGTGGGATCCGAACTGGGGCCCTCTGGCATCCCAAGCCAGTGCTTAACCATCACGCCACTCAGCTGGCCCAGCATACAATCTTTTGTCAGAATATGAGACCTGATTTGGGCCGAGAAATTTTGGCCAAATTATGAGCAATTTCTTTTCAAAGGAGATCAGAAGGTCAGTGATTTTCAAAAAATAAAAGCATGAATAAATCAAGAGCCCAAGACTTGTTATAAATTTCTTTCTTTTTCATTTGCCAACTACAGGTTCTACTCAGTATTTTCAACTAAACTTTCCCATCTTAGATTTTTATGGTAGCATTTTTGGTTTTGTGTTTCCTCCAAGACTGAACATGTATAAATTCTCAAAGTTCTAGCACCAGAATAAAGAAGTAAAACAAATAAACAAAACCAAAAAAACAAAACAAAAAACAAACCATCAAATAGGTGATAATCAAATGACAAAGCTGAATAAATAATTTTTTAAATTGCCTAGATTTAAAAAAATCACCTAGCTTATTTTTACTGATTACATTTTGATCCAAATAGGGGATATTACTCTTCTGATTTTCAGACAGGAATCAGCAGGTAAATCTCTTATCTCCCAAATCAGGACCCTCTTGGCTGTGCTATACAAGCCAATTCATCAATAATACTCATTTTTCATTCAGTTTCATTCCACAAATTTATTATTGGGTTTTCGGAAAAGTCATGACGCATTTTTGCAACGAAAAACAGAAAAAATACGTCATGATTTTTCCAACAACCATATACATGGGTATTAGGTTAACATTTGGGACTTAAATTGTACTCAGCGAATGTGATTTCTTTTAATCAGAAAGATGCTTTGCTTTTAAAACTTGTTTGTGTCAAGAATTACAAATCAAACCTACAGCATGCAACCTTCAAATTACCTAACAACAATACTTTAATAATCAAACACATTGCTATCCATGGTATCTGAGAAATGATCTGTGGTCAGGGTATTTGAATACTCACAAATACAGCGCCCATATCGAATAGCCTGTGTAGAAGGTAAAGAAAAAAGAGAAGTGCCTGAAGAGATGGGATCAAGTTTGTAAGGAACCCAGAAAAATGCCCAGAGCCAGAATTATTGCTCCATTCAGGATCTGGATGGCCTGTAGAAAGAAAAAAAAACCATGATGGTCGTATACTAGTATATGCTGAGAGGACGCCATTTAAATTTCCCTCAGGAAGGAGACATCAGGGGGTCAAATATATGGTGATGAAGGAGACCTGACTCTGGGTGGTGAGCACACAGTGTAATATATAGATGATGTAGTATAGAAATGCACACTTGAAACCTATGTAATTTTACTAACCATTGTCACCCCAATAAATTTAGTTTTTAAAAAAATGGTTAAAAAGTCAAGTATAAATTAACTGGGTAAGGGCTTAAGCTGGGAGCTTTCTGTTCCATGCTATGCCCACCAATTCCAGTGGCAGCCCTTCATCCTCACCTCCTTCCCTACTTCTATTCGATCTCACAAACTCCTTTTTGAAAGTGGCAGAACAACAGATATTATGGAAAAATGCTTAACTTCACTAGCTACTAGGGAAATGCAAATCAAAACCACAACGAACTATCACCTCAGCTGTTACAATGGCTATCATCAACAAGACAAATAATAACAAGTGCTGGAGATGTTATGGAGAAAAAGAATCTTCATACACTGCTAGTGAGGATGTAAATTGGTACAGCCACTATGGAAAACAGTACTGAGGTTCCTCACAAAATTAAGAACCCAGCAATCCCTTTTCTGGGTATCTACCCAGAAAATCTGAAAACATTTATTTGTAAACATATATGTACCCCTTTGTTCATTGCAGCATTATTCACAGTGGCCAAGACATGGAAACAACAAAAATGTCCTTCAGTAGATGATTGGATAAAGAAGATATGGTACATATATACACGATGGAACATTACTCGGCCATAAGAGAAGATGAAATACTGCCATTTGTGACAACATGGATGGATCTTGAAATTATCATGCTAAGCGAAATAAGTCAGACAGAAAAAGTCTTATGACGTCACTCATATGTGGGATATAAAACTGAAAGCAACAAAGGAACAAGACAAACAAACAAAGAAACAAAAACTCATAGACACAGACAATATAGTTTAGTGGTTACCAGAGGGTAAGTGGGGAGGGGGGTGGTAGATGAGGGTGAAGGGGATCAAATATATGGTGATGGAAAGAGAACTGACTCTGGGTGATGAGCACATAATGTGATATATAGATGATGAATTATAGAATTATACACTTTAAACCTATATAATTTTACTAACCAATGCCACCCCAATACATTTAATAAATTTTTCAAAAGGTCAAAAAAGGCATACATATTTATAATAAAAAACAAATTAAGTGTCAGAAGAGTAAAGGAGATATGGCTGATAACATAAATCGAGGCATACTTTGGGGTCATATCATGATGAGAGCAGATCGTCGTTAAGCAGCATTTTACTCAATCTTTCCCTCAACCCAATTTTTAAACTTAAAATACAGAACATGAGTTCATAGAATTCAGCCTCCTGATATGGATGGTCAGACTGGAGTCCGCTGTCCAATGTTGATAGAGTGTTTCTACCATGAGATTATGCCTCTGTATTTCAATTCCCAGGTCTAAAATACACTGCAGTCTTTTCTTAAAGGAGTAATGTGATCGATGCCATGATGAGTAACTCAGAAATTCCTCCTTATGAGCATAAATAAGGTTTTCCATGTGGTAGTTATTTTCTTTCATCTTAAGCCAATTTTTAAAACAAGGCTGACTTACCCCAAGAGCTTGTAGCTCCTCTTTCTGGTAATTTTGTGATCTATCACTGGGCTGGTAGACAGAATTAGTCACAACCTGTGGTTCCACCTGGCTTTGTGGGCTACCACCTGCTGAGGCCGTGCCCAGCTCTGCATTAATTACTTGTTGGGAGGCCATCTAGGACTGGTGATGACTGTAATAGGAAAGAAACCCAAAGGCTTTCATGTTTTCCCTTTTACCACTAGCTAATAATATTTTTGAGTGCAATGGAAGAGTTCAATTCTGGTCATATATCAAAATGCATTTCTATGAATGGGGCAGGAGGGTAGAATAACAGAGTTTTTACGTTGTTTAATTCCATTTTGTCTTGGAGTAGTAGAAATCATCAAATCATTATATTGTGTTGTCGGAAAAGCCATGACTCATTTTTGCAATGAAAAACAGAAAAATACATCATGACTTTTCCGACAACCCAATAGTAGGCCTGGGTACTGCACTTCACTTGGGAACAGTAAAGAGCAATTCCTTTCTCGTTTTTACATGTACTTATATATTATATAGTCCTGCCTCTCTTCAAATCCACCCTGGACAACCAGACACATGGCTTTGTTGAGCAGGGATCTTTTATGTGAGGAAGATGGCTTTAGTCACAATCCAGCAACAATAACAGGTATCATTTATAGAGCACTATATGGAATATACCTTTCTGGTTAGCAGTATAACACAGTGGAAAGAGCCAAGTTCAAATTCAAATTTGGCCACTTACTAGTTGTATGATCTAGTAGTGGGAGCCTCAGTTTTCACATCTGTAAAATGAAAACACTTTTAATTTCACATTAACATTGCAAGGGGCAACTTTGATAATGTATGAAGTCCCTAGTCTAGTAAAGAGTTGGTAACTGTTATACTCTGCCTTGTGTCAAAAAGGACTTAAAGCATTGTATATAGAGTCACGAAACAACCACCTCAATCGTTACAACTAAAAAATATGTATCACTAAAATATACATGGTATGTTTAGTCTTGAACAATATAACTTCCTGATATGCAGGGTTCTCTAAGACAAATAATTACTAAATGCTTCTACCACTGATGAGGTAGACTATGTGAGATTAGCCGTAAAGCCACTGAGCACTGATGAATTCTGTCAAAACTATTGACTTTGAGTTTAGAACAGTATCTTAAGTTCTACTTTTTTTTCTGGAAATTACATGGCAGATCCAATTTTCTAATACTTTTACTCATTTTTGTCAAAATAAATCCATGCCACTTCCTTTCAGGATAATATTTACCTTTCTAGTTCTTTATTGTTGGGGTTACACGTCACACTTATTCAATCATTGAGATGCTAAGAAGGTGAAGGTCAGATGCATTCTAACTTTCTCATATTGGTAATTGCTATTGGACCCCTCACAAAAGTTTCCTATCAATACTGATTTTCACACCAGCATTAAGGTAAATGTTCTAAGCACTGATAAATGTACAATGACAATGAACTCATACCTCCCATACTCAACGCTGTGCACAGGGCCTAGGAATAAGGGAAGATCAAAAAAGTTTACAACAAACCCTATTTTAATAAAGGCCCAATGTATTCTGTACAAGATCTATAACAATAAGGTTGGCCAAAGGTGAGTTGGTTAAGAGCTGGCTTGGGACGCCAGCTCTGAGCAGCAGGGCCCCGGTTCGGATCCCACATGGGGGCCAGTGACACTACCCTCTACAGCTAAGATGCTGAACAACAGCTCGACCTGGAGCTGCGCTGTGGTGAGTCGCCGGCGACAGCATAGGCTACAGCCCCTGCTGCAGTGGGCTGCCATAAACTACCGTGTGTGGCCGGCAGCCAGCGTGAGCAGCCGGCAGCTGGTGTGAGCTGCCAAGAGCCGCCAGTGAGCTCTTGTCCAGAGGCCAGCGACTGATCTGCCTCACCTGGGAAGAGCGCAATGATAATACCAACATGGGCTAGTGAAGCAACATCCTCTACAACTAGACTGAAGAACAAAAGGACAGCAACTTGTCTGTTCCCCTTCCCCCATTCCCCAGAGCTGTTCCCCTCCCCCAATTCCCCAATAAAATCTTTAAAAAAAAAAAAAAAAAGATTGACCAAAGGTAGAACATCTTCTTTAAATCCCTCTCCCATCTATGTTGAACATCATCTTGCAAAGCCCAGGCTTCAACTTCATCTGCTGGGAACTCTGTATATATTTTAGATAAAATATCGAATACGCTAAAACGTATGTGAAGTGGGGAACACGGCTCATTCGTGATCAGGGAGTTACTTGGCCATTTCTCCAGCTTCATTCCTCAGCCCTCCCTACCTCAAAGCTCAGCCCAGCCTTGTTTCTTTCTTTGGGTCTTCCCCAGTCAAGACCTCAAATGTCTTGAACCTGTCTCAGTACTAGTCCCGCCTCCTGAAACACGTTTTCCCTCCGACTCCACTTAGATGATTTTTGCCCTTTTTCCAGACTGAATCTCAGCCCACACATGATCCTTTGATGGATGAAGCAGCCCTTTCAGTTACTCTCAGAATTCCCTCTACCTCCCTTCTCATTCTACTCACCAGCCTCAATTGACTGGACACTTATCTGTACCTCCCTGTCTTCTCATCATTGTAACCCCAGTGCCTAGCTCAGTGCCTGTCATACAGGGGACATTCATCTAATAACACATGTTTAATAGATCAGTGAACTTTTGGTCTGGACTGATGTCGCTGTGCCTTCCGGATGAATGATAATGAAAAATACATTGGCAAGGATGGGAGCCTCTCACATGGAGACACCCCAGAGCAGTCTGGATGGAGGAAATGTCTTCTGACCATATTATTTAACTTTTAAAAATAACTAAGTATCAGGGAGAATGTTCAGCCTTCAGGTAAAATAAACTATGCTCTATGACATAGCTTATTTTTTAATGGAAGAAATGTAGATTTCCTAAGAACCCACCAGTGAAGTTCACTTATCTAGCTTTTAGTGCATGTCAGGCATTGTTCTAAGTGTTTTACTCACGTCAACTAATTTAGTTCTCACCACACCCACATGAAAAGGTAATACTGTTAGGATCCTCTCCGTTTTACAGGTGAGGAAGCTGAGCATCTGAGGAGTTAAGGAACTTGCCCAAGGCCACACAGCCAGCAACTGGCGGAGCTAGGGATCAGAAACTGGCTGCCTCTGGAGTATCATTACCTTATACTGGCTCCATGAGTTTATGCAGAAACTCAGGAATGTCCGCACCATCCCTCATTACCAGAGCTGGCAGCCATTTAATATGGGTGCAGGATTTAATATACCGAAGGGGCATATGTCTGCGTGTATGTGAGCCCATGCCCACATTTCTCCAAATGAATAACTATATAATTATATCTAACATTTTTTACCATGGCACCAGAGTAATATTCAAATTCTAAGGGAAAGCTATCTTTCTAACTCAATGTTCCAAATCCCTACCAAGAAAAACCAAGCAGAAAACTTTGCAGACATGCTCAGTGGCCCACTGGGTGACACCTTTAACAGACAATAAAAAAAGGGGAGAGGGACTCGATAGGGTTTACTTTGGAGGCTTTAGACCTTGACAGACTTCTTTCCTGTCAAGCCCATCTTTTCGTGACCAGGAGACACTCAGTAATGATCGCTACAGTGTCTTTTCAATAAAATGGCAGCCTGTTCTAACGCAGGTTTAACATATCTTTGCCTTATGCAACACTTTAGAGGGGTCCATGAAAATGTTTTGTGGGGAGCCTGACGAGTGTGCTAACCTCATGTGTGCCCGGGGCCTCTTGGCTTTCACAGTGATTTCCCGAGGGTGCGGTGTTGATTAGGAAACTGGTGCCAGGAATAACTGCCTCTGGCTTTGAGACATTGCTTAACATGTTGTTGGAACATGCAATACAAGCAGAAAATATGGGGAGAGGGGAGGGAAAGGGTGTTGGAATGGAGGCAGAACAGTTACTTGCATAGTAAGAAAAGACAAAGTCAGATAGCAAGCATCGTGTCTGGAGGACAGAGCTGGTCACTCGCATTATCACACTCAGTCTCACCCGGCTTGGAGAGGTTAATTAATCTGTTAGCATCATAAGTATAGAAATGATGCAAATTGTAGTTCCAATTTATTGAATGCTTACTATGTACCAGCCACCATTCTAAATGCTTTACATGTATTAACTCATTTCATCCTCCCAATAACCCCAGGCATAGGGACAACTATTAACCCAATTCCACAGAAGAAAAAACGTGGCATAGAAATCTTAACCGACTTTCCCGACGTCACTTGGTGAGCGGACAAGCTGTATGCAGAACTCAGGTCCTGGGTAGGGGGAAGTCAGAGGTGTGCCTGCCACTGCAGTGTGACTTTAATAATGCCTCCTCTCACTTTTAAAAGTGTACCACTATAGATGATAAATTATATAATCATTCTAAATAAATAACGTCCTGAAATAGTAGATGGAAAGATCAGAGCCCAGAGACAGAGAGTAAGGAAATGCTATATAACATGTGAAGATTCAAATGGCAGTCCTTTAGAAGGCCATGGGGCAGGGCCTGAGGCAGGTCAGGGGAGCCAGTGAGAAAGAAGAAATGTTCACAACACACGAGGTGAAGCCTAGTTTTAGAAACTGGAGCATAAGTGGGGACTTGGTCACAGGAAAGAGCGAGGGCCGGACCCCATGGCCGAAGGACAGCATGGAAAGGGGAGGCTGTGAATTCTGGGGCACTGAGTATAAAGTGAGCGGGGGCCCAGCAGCCAGGAAAACACCGCGCTGCAGCTCTGCGGCCACGGCTGGTACCCGAGCCTGGCGCAGAGGCTCTGAAGAGGGGGCTGAGGACAGAGAAAACCTCAACAGGAGTCATGAAGAAATAGCTGAAGGATGGTGGTAAAAGAAGTGATCGTCCTGCCTCATTTTAGCCTGAGCCATTGCAAATGGAATACTGAAGAAGAAAAGAAGAATGAGATAGTGCCTTAAGAGAAAGACAGAAAGAAATAGGAGGAAGTGAAAGAAAAGAGTTATCCTTTCAACATACTTGTTTTAAATTTAGAGTAGTAGAAAGAGCTCTGCAAAGAAGTTACTTAAGCCCTAAGACTTCAGTTATTTGTAAATTTAAGCTTTTCGTACCCCACCTTCGAGAACAGTGCAAAGATTAAAAGACGGAAAGCATGTAAAGGTCTTAGTAATGAAGATCTTTGCACGAATGGCAATACATAACTCTGTGGGTTATTAGGATTAAACAAGTTGTCACAACATGCTGGTAGCATTACCTGACGTACATTAAGCTTTACAGAAGTGTCACCTCTCAGTTGTGTATTTACTGCCAAAGGCAGATGCCCACTATGGCAATGTTCAAGTTCTTTGATTGACAACCAAGCAACCATAAGCAGCATTTTATTGAACATGATAAGTTAGTATTGTAAAAAACTTAATAACAACTATCTTGGTAAAATGCGTTTCCAGAGCACCAGAAATGTACATTCAGTGAACAATTGAATAACTAACAGCACAATTTAATTCTCATAACTGATCTAAGAAATCTCTCCATGCCAGAAGTGATTTTTTTGGTGTACTACATGGACAGACTCCCTCTTTATGGAAAAGAAGGTGGCACAAGTAGGTGAGAAATGATCATCTAATGACTTACTCATCAGTGGCAGGATGAGGCTGTGCTTCGCCACCTCAACCAGTCAATTCTTTCACATATAGAAGAATCACATCAGGGACAAAGGACGCCTGACATCAAATTTCAGTGAAGGGGGCGTTTCTTAAATTCTAGAATATAAATTTAATTTATTCTTCAATAATTATTCTGCTATGATATACATTATTTTTAGGACCCAACTTTACTGATTAATTGGGAGAGCACACACAAGTTACAGCATCTTCACATAAAAGGACTTTGTCTTTCCTGGGAGTTAGTATTCAAATTTTAATTTCTGCACAAATTTTAGTCTCTGGCACATTTATACACTTATCTCTTCTTTATTCTGATTAAAAGCTATTTAAAACATATTTTTTGGAGGTTCACATCAAGCAGATCAAACCATTGTCATTGAGAACATATTGCTGAATTTACTAGATAGAACAGAAAATAAAATCTGAGTAATATAAAGTACCTAACAGTTAACATTAAATTAATAAGCCATATCCCTAATGAATAATAGTATCTAAAAATACACCTTCACTGAAACAGGACCTTCACTGAATTAGGGCTTTTTTAGGGATCAGATACCTAAGAAAAGATTTATATCAATTATTTTTTTGTACAAAAAAAGTTTTTTTCCAACAAAATTCTAGATAGCAATTCCAAGTTTCCATTTTACCTTAAGGAGGAAGTCAGTTTAATTAGAACTTAACAATCCTGACTCTTCTGGCATTGTCTCAAAGCCAGCAATAAAGGAACTGGAGTCCAATTTTATTTCATTGTCTATAGACACTGGTGTTAGCCATCCTGATTTCCCAAAGAAAAGGAACACAGAAAGCAGATAGGGTTGGCATACTTGGTACCAGGTCTTTCTGAGTCTAAACTTGGAGCCAAGTTATTTTTACCACCTTGTAACATTATGATCATTTCCAGTTTGGTGTTTGAAGAGGGCAAAACAGTTCCTGTATGTTCTGGATAATAGATGATTTATAACACTTGCATTAGTTGAGAACCAAAATGCCCAGACTTAGACAAATGAATTCTAAGAATGGCAAGTAAAAGCTGTCAAAAGCTTAGTCTGACAAGTGTGGTGGTGGCAAGGGAGGTGTGGGGGGTTTGTGTGGGGGTGGGGGGTGAGGGGGGTGTACACAGCAGTAAGATTCATGCACCAAAAACCTAACCACATTCTATTGTTGGCCTAGTCTTCATGTTTTTCTAAGGAAGATAAGCTGCAAACCACATAGTAATTACTATTAATATCAAAATGGGAACGCCTTAGTCATCGCTATTATTCTGGTAGCCTGTGCAAAGACAATAACTCCAGAACATTGGCTAATATATAGGGATGAAAGTGTGTGTGTGTGTGTGTGTGTGTGTGTGTGTGTGTGTGTGTGTGTGTGAGAGAGAGAGAGAGAGAGAGAGAGAGAGAGAGAGACTAAATCCCCCAACCTTTGTTTTGCCCTATAAAGTAAGTTAAAGAGAAGAGCAAGGGTATTCAACAATGTGAGTGTACTTAATGCCACTAAATTATACAATTAAGATAAAATTTACCATTTTATCCATTTGATGTACATTTTACCACAATAAAAAACACCAATTCTGCCCACCCCCAATAGTGCTCTGATCATGCTAAAAGATACTGCATACTAATTAGCTCTGAGCTCTCAATTCCTTTTTGGTGTCAACTATTTCCATATATTAAACAAAGATAGAATTTTCCTATGGTTTTCAAGTGGTTTCCAGATTTGTCATTCAGACTTATAACACTCTATGTAAATATTTCAGTGACATGGTCAAAGTGTATTAGGATGCCATTCCATTGGTCTCAAAGTGCAATGTGAGGTCCTTTTAGGGTTCAATGTCTCAGTTCCACAAAATTGCAAGCAAGGAATATTTAATTATTGGCAGATAAGCCCTTCTTTTCATGTATCCCCATGATTTAGCATTGAAATGAAAGATTGCTTTTCTCTTAATTTTTTAGCCATTTCCTCTCCTAACATGGAATTGAATCATGAAACGTATCAGAAGAAGAGTATTATGAAGGAGAAAGTGTTGAAAGATCATGCTTGATTTTTCCGTGACTGAGTATTTAATGTAGTTCAGTTACTATAAAATAACCAACCTAATTACACTATATTGTATATTTTTTTATTCTAAAATAAATATTACATTTAAAAACTATAAGAGTAGGGCCTGCCGAGTGGCTCAGCTGGTTAAGAGCTCGCTTGGGAGCGCCAGCTCTGAGCAGCAGGGCTGCGGTTGGGATCCCACATTGAGGGCCAGTGATGCTCGCCCTCTACAGCTAAGATGATGAACAACAGCTCAACCTGGAGCTGGGCTGCTGTGAGTCACTGGCGATGGCGTAGGGTGCAGCAGGGCTGCAGTGGGCTGCCATGAGCTACATGAGTGGCTGGCAGCCAGCGTGAGTGGCTGGTAGCCGGTGTGAGCTACCAAGAGCCGCTGTGAGCAGCTGTCCAATGACCGGTGACCGATTGCCTCACCTGGGAAGAGCACAATGATCGTACCAACATGGGCCAGTGAAGCGACGTCCTCCACAACTAGGCTAAAGAACAAAACAGCAACTTGTCTACCTGTCTGTTCCCCTCCCCCCAATTCCCCAATAAAATCTTTTAAAAAACAAAACAAGAGTAGTCATTAAATTATTTTTGTAAATGCTGATTTGATATTTGTTTAGGGTTATGCTTATGGGCGAGTCACAGTCTCTAAAACTCTGTGCCTCTGCGGAAACATCTGATAAGTAAAGGTGAAGCGAATATATTCAAAGGGGTGTGGTCTATTGGACTCACCTAGAGGTACAACACTCCAAATAGCTGCTATGACAAACACGATGTATATTCCTTGGGTTATAGTACAACTCAGTTTGAAAAAGGAGAGTAGCCTCTGAAACAACCTAGGAGAGCACAAAGTTTAAGTAGAAGGTATTTCTAGTAACAGAGAAAGCATACACATTTTGAACAGGAAGTAGAAAACAAAAACGGATGCTGTCGCTTTTAGGTACCTACCAAGATCTGACAACCCACACTAGGACAGAAAAGGAGTGTTGTCTGGAAGAGTAGATTTTAAGTGTCTGGGGGAAAAAATTTTGATAGGCCTTAGAAGCAACTTCGAGCCACCTTTGTGATCCACTATTGAAAAGTTTTTCAACAGTTCTTTTGAGAAAGATGATTTGGAGGTCAAATATTAACAACAGAATGTTTTAAAGCTTTGGAGGATAAATAACCATCCTGTTTTGGTATCTAATCACTAACCAGCTATGGGTCCCTAGGCCAATGACCAAAGCACCTTCCGAAGCTCCAGTTCTGTTCTTTCTAAAATAAAGATATACCTTATTCATAGGTGACTGTTATAATTAGTCATTGGCCTGAAGTATTTTTGTAGTCTGATTATAAAGCGTTTAAATTTGGGAATCTATGAAAAAACAATATCCCAGGATAACAATACAGGTTAAGATTTGTGCCTTGCTACATAACTGACAGATTGTATCCCAATGAATATCTACTCCCCATGTTGACACATGGCCTGGTAGAACATGGGCAGGTTTAAATGATCTAGTGTTGACTATGCTATACCTGCCCGTGACTGGGGACCTTTCACATTAAGAGCATTCAATGAAATTTATTAATGCCTGTCACCCCAATAAATTTAATAAAATTTTAAAAATAAAATAAAGTCAAAAATAAAAAAGAAATAAAACTGTCTGGTAAGCTGTAGCAAAATACAATAGTAGTAGACTGAAGATAACTTAAAGTCAGTTCCCTAACCAGTCTGTAAATTTGTGCTGTAAGGTCGTGTACACATAGATGGCCCAATATTCAGTGAATGATAAGGAACTGTATTGTTATCTACCCATAAATCACTATACCTAGGAGCAAACTTTGTTCTTTAAAGAAAATGACAATAGGCTGGCCAAGTGGGTCAGTTGGTTAAGAGTTCGCTTAAGAGTGTGAGCTCTGAGTAACAGGGCCACTGGTTCAATTCCCACATGGGCCAGTGACGCTGTACCCAAGCTGAGCTGCCGCTGAGCTGCCAACAGGTGGCAGAATGGCTCCGCTGGTGAGAGTACATGCTCCTAACAACAAGGTTGCTGGTTTGACTCTCGCATGGGATGGTGGGCTACGCCCACCTGCAACTAAGATTGAACACGGCACCTTGAGCTTAGCTGCCCTGAGCTGCCGATGGATGGCCAGATGGCTTACTGGACTTGGAGCTGAGCTAGCTGTGCCCTCCACAACTAAGACTGAAGGACAAAAGCTTAGCAGTTCCCCTTCCCCAATTCCCCAATAAACATCTTTAAAAAAAAAGCAGATGGAAAGGGAAGGAAAAAAAATAGTTGCAATAAATGAATTGCAAATATATCAGCAATAATAACAAACGTTAAGTGAACAAAATACTCCAAGACGAATGACCAACAGCAGAATGAAGACATGAGTTATAATATATTAATATAATCAAATTCCATGTGGCATTGGAAAATAAATTATAAAATTACAGTTATATAAACAGATAAATGTGAAAACAAATGCGAGAGAGAAGTCACAAAACAAATCTTATGTATCTATTGACACAAAGTTCAAATGAGAGATAAAGAGTTCTTAAAAAGATTTTCTCCAAGCAAAGGCTATTAAAGCCAGTACCTGTTCTATACTTATTAAGGCATTAGAATCATGACCAAAACATGACTCTCAATCTCATCTGATACAGCCACCTCGTGTTTTACAAAAGCAAAAACAATAGGGTTTAAATCTTATCTTTATTTTGACATGGACATAAGTAACTGTAACACAACCTGTCATCCATGATTTCATTTCTTAGTTCCCTCTGTATTCCCAGCTGCACAGAAGACAGTAAATGTTAAGCACGTGTATGTGTGTGTGATATATGTACATGTAATTTGAATTGTAGCCCTTGCTCCTTGCTGATAGTACTACCTGCACACAGGACTTCCAGGTGAGCAGAAATTAGAGAGCTTCCACTTTACTGTTTAAGAAAGAGGAGGGGAAACACCTGACTAGCAACCCAACCCTTAGGGAGGCAGTGTTCTCCCAGCGAGCTGGACAGGGCTTGAAATCTGTAGTCATCCAATTACTAGTTAAAACTGCAATATAACTTACTCATGAGTCCGTGAAGGCTACCAAAGGGAAGATGCACAGCCAGGTTCAACACGAGGCCTGGCAATTTCACTGCGTGCATGCAGAGCCTCAGACTGGGCTGCACTGGGTAAGTGAACGTACATTCAAGGTGGCAAGTCTACCCGGTAACTGGAAAGTTAAGCTGCAATGGATTGGAATGCCATTTAAGACAGATTTCATATACTCTCATTGGTCTCCTTAGTTACTACATGTGTTCTATATATAGTCAGAACTTTCATCATCACGATAGCAAGACAATGCAGGGAGATGTCTGGGGTGGTGGGGGGAGGAAGGAAGTGGGGTTGGAGAAGGCAGGTGTTTTAGTCAGTGATTGTAACCTCTGATTCACATCTCTCCTTGTGTTTGAAATAGTCTAACATCACCTAGATAAGATTATCAGAAAGATCCCTCAAAAAGGGAAAAAGATTTCAAATGTTGGGATTAAAGATGGATTCAAAAGGATAAGTGGGCATGAACTATCAGAAGTCCATGCTCCTGGTTTCACTGCTTTCTTCCATACTAAAAATCAGAGTCAAGTTTCACTTTGGCGTTCTGAGGTTGTGTCTCAAATAGCTGAGAATCACCTGAGAAAAAGCTAGAGGAATGCGCATAGGCTGCTGCATACACTAACTGAAGCAGTCTTCCTTGCCCCCAAGCATCATGTACCACCATCTCCAGGTCTGAAAGCCCCACTCACTCCATCCCGAATCGCAAGGATTCTTCCCTGACTCACAAGCCACTGTCCTTTCTCCACATGTGCTGAGTTGAAATATTGAAATGTCAATGACTAGCTGCTACATGTGAGCTGTGCTGCCCTAGACATTCTGATTCATCTTAGGTAAAATGGAAAGACCAGGAACGACATACAGTCCTTGCACATAAAGGTTTACAGGCCAAATGGATGAAGAAAAAAGTCACAAGATGTGATACATATATGTAATGGAATATTATTCAGCTATAAAAAAGAATGAAATTTTGCCATTTTTGACAACATGCATGGACACAGAGGGTATTATGTTAAGTGAAATAAGTCAGACAGAAAAAGAGAAATACTATATGATTTTCCTTACATGTGGAATCTTAAAAACATAGCAAACGAACAAACAAAACAGAAACAAACTCAGAACACAAAATGGCGGTCACCAGATGGCAGGGGGCTGGAGGGATGGGCGGAAATGGTGAAGGGGATTAAGAAGTACAAGTTGTCTTATAAGATATAATTACAAGATATAAAATATATTATTTTTATATATATCTATATAAATATATTTATATATATAAATAAATATATATATATTACAAGATATAAAAACAGTCATGGGGATATAAAGTACAGCATAGGGAATACAGTCAATAATATTGTAATAGTTATGTATGGTGTCAGGTGGGTACTAGATTCATCGGGGTGATCACTTTATAGGATATATAAATGTCGAATCACTGTGTTGCACACCTAAAATGAATATAATATTGTATGTCAACTGTAATTGAAAAATAGATTTCAAAAAATTTTTGGTCCTATTCACAGGACCTTGCAGAGATGTATCTTGCTATAAGAACATGTAGAGGTTCTTTTCTGTGTCTCCCATACACTGGGGCAATTGGACAATGGGAGGTAGCCTTGGGGAAAAAAAAGGAATTCACATATTAATTACACACACATGCACAAGCACACACACTGGTAACAGATGGAAACATACACGGATGAGTAATTTTTAAAAAATAATAAAGAACACAAAAATTAATGTTGCAACGCTGTCTTAGAGTAGTTGACATTTAGTCAGGCTTTGAAGCTGGGAAGCATTTGGATAACAAATACTGGAGACAATTCCAGGTAAAATAGAAAAGCACTGGAATCAACTTATGGACAGACCAGATATTCATTTAGCTTTATCTTATTGGCTTTGCAGAACCACTGATGAATTTGACCTGAGTGAAGGTCAGGAAGTATTTTGAAAGACCAGAAGAGCAGTGTCATCACCAAGGGAAATATGAAAACAATGGAAGCAGGAAGATCAGTTAAGATACAACCAAGTATCTTACAAAACAATACTATCAAGTGCTGGTAATTGGCAGTGGGTTCAAAAACAGACCCATAGAGCCAAGGATTATTTCTGAGGAACCTCTAAAAGTTAGGATCAAGATAGCGAGGAGGCCACAACAAAGAAAAAAGAAGAACCTCCACGTTAGGCAGAAAGAAAAACTGTGTCCTCAGGATATTGACTCAAAGTCTACTGGGCCACAAGTATTTCTCCTGCAGCAAATTGTAAAACCAGGTTTCACAGGGAGGAGAGCGCCTGTGTGGAAAGCTATCATTATGAGCAAGCCCTCCCAGGAAGCGTTCGCTAAAACTGGTCGCTTACCATAAATGGTCTCAGCACAAGGCCAAACCAAAGCAGCAAGGAGAAACAAGAACTCTAAAGCCACAGAGACCTTCATCTTGGCAGAGCCCCTGCACAGGACTTCTCAGGGAGCAGGAAGCGGTAACTGGCTTAAGTGATGTTATATGACCTCCAGTGCTCAGCTGCCTGCATTTTCCTATTGACTTGGTAGCCCATGGGGTGCTCTTACCACAGTGCCCACCATCTAAACGCTGACACTCTCCTGATTACCCAACACTGGAGCTCAATGAGCCCTATCAGGTGAGAAGTGTGATATGTGTGTCTGCATCAGAGGCCTGTTTAAATCATCTGGGCAGCTGGCATGGCACACACTACACATCCAACAAACGCTAAATTGTAGGAAACTGTTTTCACTAAATAATTCTCAGGTGTCATCTAACATGATGAACAGCCTAAATCACACATATTTGAAACCCAAAGGTGATTGTTTCTTCATTTTGAGGGGTTTAGCTGGAAACATCAGCAGAAGAGATGGTAAAGGGACTGGACCAGGACCATAAGCCCAAAGAGGAAAAAGCTCTTTGTTCACTTTCTCCTGCCAATTAGGGGTACTTTGGCAGGAAATAAGTGAGTAGTACAAAGTTTACGGATCATGGATATACTAATGGAAGGTACTGTTTCTACTGCAAAAAAGCAAGCAGATGAACACCAAAATGAGTCTTTCATGGCGAATATCAAGGTGATGGCAGGGCTGTGTTCCTTTTGAAGGCTCTCAGGAAGAATCTGTTTCCTTGCCTTTTCCAGCTTCTAAGGCCATCTGCATTCCTTCGCTTGTGGCCCCTCCCTTGTGACCCCATCACTCTGATCTCTGCTTCCATCATCCCATCTCCTTCTCTGACTCTGATCCTTCTCCTTTCCTCTCTTTAAAAAATCTTTATTAAATTTACTGGGGTGACACTGGTTAGTAAAATTCTGTAGGATTCACACGTACAATTCTATAATACGTCATCTATGTATTGCATTGTGAGTTCACCACCCAGAGTCAGTTCTCCTTCCCTTACTCTTATGATTCTCTCTGCCACATTTTTATTACATTAGGCCCACCACGATAATCCAAGGTAATCTTCCCTTAATTAATCACATCTGCAGAGTCCCTTTTGTCATATAAGGTAACATAGTCATGGTTTCCACAATTATACAGTTCTGAGGATTATCAGGAGGATAGAGCCTTTAGCTTTCGGTTGTAACCAGTCAAGATGGTGTGAAAGCCTGGAGAACGATGCCATGGCTCTGATGTTAGAAAGTCAAAGGCGCAATCTCCATCGGTTCCTACAAGAAAAAGAGCATCTCTAACATACTCACTGATATTCTTCTTTGCAGAATTAAAACACTTTAACAAAAGGTGAAGACGTTGCACCAGTATGGATCTTTATCAATATTAACTCCAATATTAGTAAGTTGGCATACCGGAGCAAACTCGAGTTTCCTTCTCAAATAGACGAAGGGAATTAGGAAAACAACTTACTTCCATTGGTGTTCTATGTGACTGGCCCTGTTCAAATGCTTTCAATGTATTATCTCATTCCAGTCTTACTACGCCCCCATGAGAGAAGGATGTGAACAGATGGTTCCACTTGGGCACAGCAACCTCAAGTATCTCACCCAGCGTAACTCAACAACTAGGTGGGAGAGAAATTCCAACCAGCACGGAGCCTGAGTGTGGAGGCAAAGCCATGAGATTCCAGTCAAATACAGCTGTCCATGCTCTTTACTGTTCATTTCAACCTTTATCACCATAGTCGAAGTCAAGAAAACCTACATCTTCTCTATTCTGAAGCCCAGAAATCTCCCCCACCTAAGCAACTAACCTAGTCTAGTTAAACTCAGTAATCTATGTCCTATGGCAAGCATGAGGCTAAGTATTAGGAGAAAAATCTACCAAAACTTAAGGCCCTTCTGATGTGTTTATAAAATACGAAAATGAGATATAGCAGTGGGAAGAGAGAGGCATGTGAAAGAGTGGATGGGCCGAGGATGACTTCGTGGGAAATTCTAGGAGATGACAAGTAGGACAAAGTGGGAAGAGGGGAGGAGAGACTAACTCTGAGAACCTTCAGAGAAAATAATAACTTGAGTGTAATATTCCTTCGCCCATTCAACAGTACCAGCTGGATCCAAGGGGAAGATACAGCATGGGGCTATGAGGATTATTGAGCTCTTAACTTCTAGAGGGGCAACCAAGCCCAAGTAACCAGAAGCGCCATGACTCATGGTCATTGAGAAATTACCCTTTCAAAGCACCATCAGTCAGGGTCCACTCTTATACCTGGCTGAGCCAGATATAGCATTTAGACCCCAGGGAATATATAACTCATCCATCTTATATTATGCTGTAGAGCTAATAAAATTATACCATAATTTAATGCACAAGGACCTCTCAAAGTGGGGAAAAAAGAAGCTATACATACATAATCTATAGTGTGATCTCAGTTGCATAAACAATGGAGAGCTAAAAAAGTTAGGTGAAAATACATGTAAATAGTTACAGAATTAAAGCCAGGATGCTCTGATAATAGGAATTATACGTCATTTGTGGAATACCAAACATGTTTCAAAAGTCCCTGTGAGGAGCACACATTTTACATTCAGAAAACTCAGTTGTTAGCTCACATACATATATTTTAATTAGTTCTCCTTGTGATCTAATGTTTTCAAAGAGACCAGAGTAAAGAGAAAACACCATGTTTTAATTCAGAGATCACAAAGTATTTCAAAACCCTATGATAATTGTCATTTTAAAAACCCTCTCCTCATGGAAAAATTTTTCTCGTTAAGTAGCTGTGAAAATTTTTCTCCCAGAATTTTGATTGAGTCTCACATAGAGGAGTCTAACATAAAATTTTCAGAGTCAACTGCCTCTCACTTGCCAATTCTTTTCAAAATCAAATGCCATGTGCTTTTTTTTTTCCTGTTTTCTGATGAAGTGTCTCTGCCACAGAATTACATTAATTGGGGTATTTATCATGATCTCTAGAGACATCGGAGTGGCCAGTTTTTAATTTGAACAAATTAAAATCTGTTGTGGCAAATGAACACACATTTCAAAAGTCCCTTTTCCCACCAGGTTTTCTTTGATGGGACTCTCATTCACTCCTGGCTTACCTATAAACCAAGGAATCAATTACTGTCTGCTCAACTTCGTTTGGAATGTATGGTTCCCAGGTCAGTCCAAAATATCATTGGCGCCTCCCTTAAATACCAATAGCTTTTTGCTGAAAGTTATCACTGCTTATCCAGAGATCCCGAAAATCAGGACTGCGTATGTATAGCTTCTCAGCTTTTCATCGTGTCTGCCAACATTAGTCTCTCCAGCAGCTCACTATTCTAAGGTCAAAACTCAGTACAAGTGAGTTACACATTACAAAGCCAGGATTGGATCTAGCTTCTTGATTCCAGACCCTTTGCTTCTGTCTATCCTCTCATATAGGTTGTGAGGACATACCCCCAGCCCTAATTCATAGCACCAGCACGTGACACACAGCCTCTGTGGAGATTTCTTAGGCATGCAGATCACCTGTGACTCTTCCACAATCCAAGAGGCTCTGAGTTTCGCAGAAGAGTTGGGGTTTGGGAAGTTAAATAATAATTCATTTTCCCTTCTGAATTTGAAATCAATCATAGGACACGGAAGACGTAGACCAGAAGATAGCTTTATTTCTAATAAAGCCAACGGGCAAAGGAGGCTGTAGATCTGAAATTACCATAGAAACACTGCTACAAGTCCACCCTGAAGTGAATTCGCTGACCCAAGGGATAGAAAGAACTGGAAAATTGCAGCTCTCCCCCTTACCTGCAAAAGAGCCTTTGTGGTGAGCTGGCCTCCTGGCTGCAGAGCAGGTCAGAACATGGCCCTCTGCAGAGTGTCTGGTTCTGCAGAGAGCTGCAAGGGAGCTGAACTAAGCCTGATAAGTCCCTCTCCCAAATTTCTCATCAGACAGGGTTTCCTGTTCCCTTGAGAAAAATTAAGGGAGAGGGCCTGGAGAAGGTAAAACCGCTCCTCCCATAGTTCCACTTCTCGAGGGGAGTGGACCAAAATATACCTTTCTTCTCTGGAAACTTAAAAAATTCAAAGAAAAACAGTGTCCACTAGTCCATAAAAAAAAAAAGAAAAAGGAAATTCTATAGTTCAGTTGAAGCAGTCAGTATACAATTTCTGATATGCCAAATGGAATTGAATTAGGAAGAAAAAACTTTTTAAGTTTGCTAAGCCCAGATTCTGTCAGGCGACAGCTTTGGGGTGAAAATGCTGCTTGACCCTTGCTAATAACAATAACCTCGTTTATTGAACACTGACTCTGTGCCAGCCCCAGTTTACAAGGACTTTAGGCATTTTAACCATCGTCAGCCCTACACATGAGTCACTAAGATTGTCCCTATTTAATGTTTGAGAGACTTGGGCACGGACAGGTTCAATAATTTGCCAGCTTCACACAGCTAGAAAGTCCTAGATTTAAGTCTATGCAGAACGGCTCCACAACCACCACTTCACAGCACCATGCTATGCCGTTCTGTACTGGCTACTAAGCTCTCGCCTCTCACCTTCCAACCTGACCGATGAAGTCTTTCAAATAAAAGGAACAGGACCAGGGTTAGCACTTTGGTAGCTGACTAATAAACTTCAAGAGAGTCTAGGAAAATCTTGCCTTAGACCTATTACTATTTTCAAGCAAAAATTACTGTGAACATCTCCTTGAAATAGTTTTTCTTACTTTAACAGAGAACAGCTTCAGGGTCCATGATTTATTACCCCACAGTGAAGGGTTTGGGGAGAGGCTGAGAGTGTTAAGCAAGAACGCCATGATGTGCATGTGTGATTCTTAAACCAAAACAAAAAGCTACAGCTGTTGAAGCAAGGACTAGTAATACCTGGGCCCAAAGTGGGGTCCCAACAATGATATCTTAAGCTTTTGTATTTCTTTTTCATTCCTCCCCATTTTTTTCCTTTCAAAGCTCCCATGTTGCACCTACTAGCACTGAACTGAGCAGTACAGTGGTTGTACACCCACGTACTCAACAATGGTTCTTGGTACAAGACAG